GTATACCAATACACACCTTTTGGAATGACTAACATTTGAAAGAATGAACATGCCAAGTGTTGGCCATGAAGTAGAGGAACTAGAACTCTCATGCACTGCTGGTGAGAAAGTAAAATAGCAAAATCCTTTTGAAAAATAGTTGGCCATTTCTTAAAAATGTTACCATATGATCCAGCCATTTCAATTCTAGGTATTTACCCAAGAGAAAATAAAGCATGTGTCCATTCAAGAATGTTTGCATAAGTGTTTCTATCAGCTGTATTAATCTTCTATTTTTGCATGACAAATTTCCCCAAATTTTAGCAGCTGAAAAAACACATACACTCATTATCTCACAGTTTCCATGGGTCAGGAGTCCAGTCATGGCTTTGTAGGATGCTTAAGATCTCTTAACTGCATCCAAGGTATTGGCTACACTGCACTCCTTTCTGGAATTCAGGCCTTTTCCAACTCACATGGTGACAGATTCACTTCCTTGTGGTTGTAGGGCCAAGGTCACTCTTTTATTGCTGGATGTCACCCAGGGACTATTTTTAGCTCCTAGAAGCCATGAGCATTTCCTGGCCATGTGGGCCTCTTATAACATGACAGCCTACTTCCTGAAAGCCAGTAGGAGAATCTCTCTCCAATCTGCTAAGATGGAGTCTTATATAACAAAACATTATTGACAGAGGTGAGTATCCAATCACCTTTGTCATATTCTATTGGCTAGAAAAAGTCACAGGTTCTGTTTACATTCAAGGAGAAGGGATTCTAGAAGAGCATGACTCACTGTGTCATCTTAGGGTGAATCTACCACAGCAACTTTTATATTTGTAACAGTTTCCAGTTTAAAACAACTCAAATACCCATCAACAGGTGAATGGATAAACAAGCTGCAGTATTTCTATACAGTGGAATACTACTTAGCACTAAAGATGAATGATACACACAAAACATGAATCAATCTCAAAATAACTGTGCTGAGTGAAAGAAGCTAGACAAAAACAAGTGCTTACAGTATGATTCCATTTATATAAAACTGTGGAAAATTCACACTAATCTATAAGGTCAGAAAGCAGATCAGGGATGGTCTGGGAATAAGAGTCAAGGGCAGGAAGTGCTGAGACAGGAGAGAGACATTACAAAGAGGCAGGAGTAAAGTTCTGCGAGTGACAGATATGTTTACAATCTTAATCGTAGTGATGACTACATGGCTGTTTCATAAACAAAGTGTTTCAAGCTGCATACTTTATATAGTTCAATTAATTGTATGTCAATCATACCTCACTGAAGCTGTTTTTTTTTTAAACATCTATTTTCAGAATCAAATTTGTTTAGATATTGCTGCTTGTTAATGAAAGCTTCCCTTTTCATCACTTGAGTTTTCCAAATTTATTTTTTAGTAGATTCTAAGACAATGCATTGCAGGCAGATTCTTTACCAACTGAGCTATCAGGGAAGCCCCCAATGAAATAGTAGTTTTTTTTTTTTCCAAAAAGCCCCATTTACGTATTTAGCTACTTGTTTTATATCCACTTAAGATTCTGTTGCAGTATAGGTCATTACAGAGTACTGACTGTGCTAAACTGTAGGCCCTTATTAGTTATCTATTTTATATAGAGAGGCGTGTATATGTCAGTCCCAATCTCCCAAATTATCACTCTCCTCGCTTTCCCCCTTTGATGACCTTGTTTTCTATGTCTGTGACTCTATTTCTGTTTTATAAATAGGTTAATTTGTACCTTTTTTTTTTAAGATTTCACCTATAAGTGCTTATCATATTTGCCTTTCTCTGAAACAGCAGCTTTTGTTTGAGGTGGAAAGAATTGTGGCAGCTGTTGGAATGTGGATCCTACATGATGAGATCTCCTAAAATGGATTTCTATCTGGTTAGCTTATACTTTGAAGATTTAGTGGGAGAGTCAGATGGGCAAACATATAACAATTTAACTGCACACAGCTACACACACACTCTATGAGAGTCTGGGGGTGGGTATGCAGTGTGCAGAGAAGATGTTGTGGAGATGGTACCTGAGTGAGTTTCAGGGGATGAAGAGGAGTTGATCAAGTGAGGACGAGAAAAGGCATTACGGGAAGAGAAAATAACATAAGCAGAGACAGTGAAACAGGAGAGAGCTTGTTACATGTGGGAAAGCAGGAGTTCAGGCACAAGGTGGGGAATCGCAGTGGATGAGGATGAAGAGGGTGGGTGAGGGCTGACATGGTGCACACAGTGATGGGGACCTTATCTTTCAGGTAGAGATTCCCTGGAGAATTTTAGGTAGGTGAATGACGTCATCAAAAAAAAAAGTATAATCTCATCTGTGGATGAAAAGGGCTTCAAAATATACAGTGATGGTGAGGACAGGAATGAGAAGATGGATTTAAGACATTGAATGGACAATATGCTAAATTTTGGGCATCAACAAGCCATAAATGAAAGAGTGAAGTCTGTAGTAATCCCCAACTTTTTATCTTGTGGTTATTCCCTAACTGAAAAAAGAAGCATAAGAGGCAGGAGGTAGTCTGCTGGGGGTGGGATGAAGAGGAGGAAATGAGTTTAAGTTGGGCTTGTCGAGTTTCAGGTACACTGGAAAGTTAAAGCAAAGGTCTTTTAAGGCAGGTAGAAAAAAGTCAGAGACTAAGAATACACATGGGTGGTGCAACTCTCATAGCAGCAAGATGTCCAAGAAAAATGTGTAGAGGACAGCACTGGGCTACAGACCAAAAGAACCTTCCACCAAGAGCTAGGAGTAAAAGGGAAATGCATATTGAAGACCCAGAATGAATGGTCAGTGAAGGTAGCTAAATTAACTATCCTGTTCTACCAATTAAAGTATCTATTACAAAAACTTGTTCTCTCCCCACTTGCCCCCACCACCCATTTTCACCCCCAGGTCTTCTGGTTGTAGGAAAGGAAAGTAACAAATGCAACTACTTTGCCCTAAAGAAAAGATAAGAAACAGATAGGATAAAATACATTATGAGACAGCTGATATCAAGGAAATATTTTTGATTGACTGCCCTGTCCAGGACTTCTTGGTGACTGCTGTTTATCTGTTGACAGTTCACATGCTTGTCCTCCTAGAGAACTATCAGAGAAGAGTCAGAAGCCCAGCCTCTGTTGGGACCATCAGCAAAATGCACCTTTGAGCTACATTCTGTAGTTTCACTGAGGTATGGGGCAGGCCATGCACTGTGGCTCTTTTACTAGATGTAGAAAGAACTATAACTGCTATGGAGCTGGATGGGGGTGGTGAATTTGGCTCTGACTGTACTTTAGCATTGATAAAATGAGGAGAGATCTGGGACAGCTGCTAGAATTGTGTGGTTCTGGTTGGGGAGGACAACAAGATTCAGCACTAGAACCTGTTGAGAACTTATTTTATGAACTACCACAGGTAGACTTGGAAATATCTACTAGCCAGGGAAGTGCCCAGACATCAAAGTATGTAGACAGAGCTTTTGTCTTTTTCCATAGCAACTAAAATCAGTTTCTCTAGAAATAAGGGAGAGACCTATTTAATACCTAGATCCAAGGTAGGATAGATGGATGGATAGATAGAAAGATAGGTGGGTAGATAGGAAGACACATAATTTGTGGTGTTTGGGGGAGAACTGTGTTGTGTAGGTAGGGAAGCTACAAACTAAGTCTCTTTTTTAAGCAAGGCTGAAACAAGGGTTTCACAGGTGGCGCTAGTGGTAAAGAACCTGCCTCCTAATGCAGGAGACATAAGAGACAGGGGTTCAATTCCAGGGTCGGGAAGATCCCCTGGAGGAAGAAATGGCAGCCCACTCCAATATTCTTGCCTGGAAAATCCCATGGACAGAGGAGCCTGGTGGGCTACAGTCCACAGGGTTGCAAAGAGTTGGACACGACTAAAGCGACTTAGCACTTAGCACATAAACATTAAAAAACACAGACAGAAAAGTGATCAATAATATCCAATATAGCCTAGAGGCCCACTAAGATATGGCATCTGTTGAATTTGGGAAATATGGAAGTTTTTGGTGATCATAGTGAATTTTAACCTAGCATAAGATAGATTTTATTGTGCATTGCATGCAAACATGAACTAAAGAAATAGAGTCTGTGACAGATTACTATCAACAAATCTGAGAAAATATGAATGATATAGTATTGAGGGAGGTGAAAATGCAGGGTCAGAGCTGGAGATGTAGTTTAGGAGAGATTTCAGTGTATTTTCAGGTTGGGGTAACACAACAACAAAAAAAAAAAAAGGGAAAGAATAAAGATATGGGAATATAAGGGGATGGTTAGTGAAGGTCAAAGAGAAAATAGAGCATGTCTTCTAGGAGAAAACAACAGGAACACTGGTGAACTGGACAGATGACATCCTGTCCCTTGAACATGGAGTAAATAAGATGCTAAACCAGGCAGATGGAGATAAATGTATAGATCCTGTGTGTGTGTGTGTGTGTGTGTGTGTTAGTCACTCAGTCATGTCAGGCTCCTTGCAACCCCATGGACTCCTCTGTAGCTCACCAGGCTTCTCTGTCCATGGAATTCCCCAGGCAAGAATACTGGAGTGGGTAGCCATTCCCTTCTCCAGGGGATCTTCCCAACCCAGGGATTGGACCTAGGTCTCCTACACCGCAGGCAAATTCTTTACCATCTGAGCCCATGAATTCTCTACTTGGGTTAATGTCCAGCCTGAAACTCCTGAGTACTCCTCTCCAATACTAGCCTCTTCCTGATCCAAGTCCTGCCAGCAAAAATGTGTGTCTGATAGTCTAAAACTCTGGATGTAATACCACTAATTGGAAAACCATAATGAATACTGCTGCTTGGCTAACTTGGGGTCAAACAATGAAAGAGAGCTCAAAAAAGTCCAAAGCAACATATTCACTGATTCACACTTATATTTCTAATTTGTTGTTGCAGTGAGAGGATGAGACAAACTTGAAAAAAAAAAAAAGCCAAGCTGTGAGTCTTCCAGAGTTGCTCCATGAAGCTGAGCTGTGGTTGAGACTGTTTATTTTTTAAATCCTGGAGCTTAATCTTCCAAAGCATCTGTATCAAGGGAGTTGGTCCAGGCAACCAGATCGTCCACTTCGTTTTCCCATGGGTCATTTATGCTAATTTCAACTGACTTTCTCTTCCACCATTCCTTTTTTTGGTCCTTCTTTGTGACAGTATCTGTTTCAGTTTGTGAATCAGGAGAAGTTTGAACTATAATGAGAAACACGTAAAACAGAAATTTAATAAACATGGCAGGAAAAACAGTAAAAGAAAGTGTCCCTGCATTTGTACCATAATGCCTAAGATCATCTAAGTGAATGCAAGTAACCTTTTTAAAGTTTCTAAATTTTACAATTGCAATGAGCTTATGTTTCAAAAATCATTCTTTTCATTTTGGTCAATCTTCTTATGCTCATATTATTTACTGAGCCCCTGCTAAGTGCCAGTAGGTGTACAAGCGAAAGGTGTCCCTGAGCGCTTCACATAGATGTGAGCACAAGGATGGAATCACTGGATCTAAGGGAAAACAGATGTGGGCTTTGAAAGCCAAGAAGTTTGCTGAAGAGAGAGGGGCAAAGGTAGGAGACGGGACCGCTTTAGATGGAGGACACAGCACAGGCCACAGCACATAGGTATGAGAGAGAGAACTCAACAGGTTTGGAGGTAATCAGAGTTGATGTTTCACTATCTACGCTCTGCCAGGTGCTATGCTAAGCATGTGCTTCATGCAAAATATAATTTACCTCCTACACAGTGCTTATGATGGACAGGTATTATTATCTTTACTTTAAGGATGAGACAATTGAGACTAAGTAGCCTGCAGTAAATTGTCCAAGGACATTCAGCTTATAATAGTTAATCATTGGTCTGCTGGATCCCAAATCACGGTGTTACAGTGTGTGGACAGTTGAGTGGAGCTGGCTAGTTAGGCTGAGGCCAGGTTAGGAACGCCTCATATATCATGCAAAGAAGTCTCATCTTTCTTGTATCAGTCTCATAAACAGGGAAATAAACTGATTACATTTTAAAAGAATACAGATACAGTATCTTTATTTCTCAATATTTCTACCCAGTGAGGAGAACTTGCTTTCCAGGGATGAACCCAAGTTGGTGCTATTTATGTTCCGCTACCCCTACAATCCCACTGTATTCTCCTCTGTGTACCTGTTGCCCCTAATTCATTGCCTAGCACGTGGTCCAGGACAAATTCCATCTCATAATAGTTCTGTGTTTATTTCCCCAGTAACAAATCCAATGACCCTTGTCATATTCATTGTCTTCTAGTTGTGCTATAGGCAAGGATTATGAATGAATTGTTCTCTTGATTTCTTTGGTTATTGCAAAGATTTTCAGAGGATTTGAGTTTAGACAGCTGCCATTATTCTATAAGAAGCCTGATGTCACCAATTATTGAGTTTTTATTTTTATACTTTAACATTAATCTCTAGATTTCATTAATTTAGAACTAAATTCTCTTTTCCTTGAGAAAATCTTTATGAACATATCATTGATTGATTAACTATACTTCTTTCTAGCCATGTTTGAGCTGTTCTGAGTTCATATGCTTTTGGTCACAAGAGATACTGTTCAAACTAGTTTAAACAATAGAGAAGTGTCTCATCTCATAGAAGAGGAAGATCAGAGGAAGGGCAGGACTGAATGATACAGGGGCTCAAAGATGTCATTTAGGACATTCTTTCCACAGTTTTGCTCTACCATCTCTGGTGTTGTCTTCATCTTCAGAGTCACAGTGAAGAGAGGTGTGGTCATTCTAGTACTCATATCAGACACAGCAATATCCAGAGGAGAGATGGAGTCTTTTCTCCAGGGTCTCATTTTTAAAAGTAGGAAAACTATCTCTGCAAGCTCCTAGTATATTTCCTCCCAGGATGGTTTGTGTCACACCCTGCTCCTAAACTAGTCACTGGCAAGGAAAATGAGATTACTATGACTGGTCAACAACAGTTGTTAAAGTGGAATGAATATTGGGAGTCAATGGCCTTGATTATTTGCCCTCTTAGTTCCTACTGTTTTTTTTTTTTTTCTTTAAAAAAAACAAAAACAAAAACCACACTCCCAGGAAGCATAAAGAGAAATTCTGGCTAGATTAGCAGAGCCTAATGCAAAATAAACATAAAAATGTTTCCTCGTGACACAGAAAAAGTAAATATTATTTTGAACTTTGTTCCTCCAGAAAATTGTAAGCATTATAAACCCCTCTGAGAAACCTTGGATTTACTAGTTGGAATGAACCAATAGCTTTGTTACTACATTAAAATAAGTTACAGAAGCACAAATTCTCATTGCCTAATGGTTTGTATGCCTTTCTAGGGATGGATCCCCTGCTTCTTAAAATTTTTTTTCTAGTCTTAAAATAATTTTGTCAGTGAAGAGACTAAATTTTGCTCTGATTGGTGGGCTCTGGTTTATTGCCCGATGGTTAATTTCTATTCACTTCTGTATCACCATCAGTTTAGTTAGAAAAACAGAGCCCTTATAAGTAATACAAGGATGAAAGGTTTAAGATATGAAACAGGGATCACATATGTGTGGAAAGACCTGGAACAGTGAAGTCTGGAAGGCCATAACTGGAGAACTGTGGAAAGCCATAGCTGGAAGAACATCACTGCTTTATGTCAGTCTGATGCAGGGACATGAGTGGAAACACCAGGAGTGCAAGGGGAGCACAAGATGCTGCACACAGCTAGCCACTCTACATGGGACAGACATTGTGAGCTCATGGAGGTTTCTATGAAGCCCTCACATCTGTAAAGTGAGAGTGTGTGAAGAGCTGCATGAAATTGCTGTGTCTGAGAAAACTGCCATGTATGATACACACAGCTCCTCAAGAATTATGGCCTCTTCTTTACTCCCACCTCCAAAATTTGAGATTAATTTTTTTCACATTAGCAAATTATGATATGCTAACCCTTCTCTGCAAAAGGGAAGCACAGAGTTCATTTCTTTTATAGCTGAGCCATATTTCCCTTTGGTGTCCTGGATAAGCTCACTCTTTCTACATTATAAACAACCACAAGATCCCAGTGACATATGACAGCAAGCATTTATTTAGGTCACACATCTACAGGTCAGCTGAGAGTTGGCCTCTCTGGGTTGGGAATGGCTGGGAAGCTTGGTTGGGAAGCTTGGTGACCAGATGGCTAGTCCAGGCATGCTCTTGGGATGATGGCAGAGGTGAAAAAGAGCAAACCAAATTGCACAAACCCTTCCCAAACTCTGAGCACATCACACCTCACTAAAATACCATTGATCAAAGCAAGTAATATGGCAAAGCTCAAAGTCAAGGGTCAAGGGAGTATATTTTGCCCGTGGTGGTAGAACATGATAGGGAGTGAAGATTTCTGCACAATAATCTAATTGGTCACAACCTCTTAGGTATAGTATCTTCTCTTAGCAGGAAGATTAGACACAAAGGAGAGTCTACCTCAATTTCAAAGCGGACATGGCTCAGCACTAGAAATTAAATGAGTTACTGGACATTCTTTAAAACATTCTCTCTCCCAGCTCACATTTCTTACTTTTTCTCATTCACCATGAGTTCATTCCCTTTTTCTCCAAAATCACAGGGCTGCTGAAACCATGACAACTCTACTCCATTCTATCGTTCATTTACTCATTTGTTTATGAGCACTGAATTACTACTACATGCCTATTACTGTGCAGAGAGGCCAGCAGCCCCTTCCCTCAAGGAAGTCACTTTCTACTGAATGAGACTGGCCATAAAGAGACCATTATAACATGGCATGTGTGGTGGACAGACTCTAAAGTGACTTGTTATGATCTCCACATTCTGGTGTTAACACCTTTGTGTAATTCCTTCCCTTTTGAGTGTGGGTAGGACTAGATACTTGCTTCTAATCAATGAAACATGCGAAAGGTAATGAAATTTCATCTCCATGATTATGTCACATTATGTAAGATTCTGCCTTGCTATTGGACTTGTTCTAGAGACTCTCCTTGCTGGGTGGATGAAGCAGGAGGCTGTGTTAGGAAAGCCCACACGACAATGAACTGCAGGCAACCTTAAAAGCATAGGAAGGCCTCCAGCATACAGCCAGCAAGAAAAGCCTTAGTAAAGACAAAAGGGAGTGAATTCTGTCAACAATTTTGTGTATTCACCTCAGTGAGCTTACAACAAACAGATTCCCCATTCGAGCCTCCAGGTGAGAATGCAGCCCAGCTGACACCTGGACCACAGCATAATGAGATCCCAACCAGAGAGTCCTGCTACACTGTGCCTTGTCTCTGAGCACACAGAAATTGAAATAAAAATATGTGTTGTTATAAGCCATTAAGTATATGGCAATTTGTTACATACCAATAGAAAATTAATAGAGCATGATAAGGCATGATAGAAATGCTATGAGAGCCCACAGGCAAAGATTCTTAGAAAAACCTGAGTTGAATCTCAAAGGATTAGGTACTAGAAAGGAAGAAAAAAGCAATGGTCATTGGGGGCGGGTAATAAGAAAATGGCGCACCTCTCAAATTTTTTTGAAATGAAGACAGGAATAAACAACCATGACCTCCTAAGTCAGTGTGGTGTTTATGGTGTAAGTAAAACATCAGTAAATGATATCACGGGAAAGGCAGACAGATATTAGAGTATTAAGGACTTTGCCTTATCAAAGGGTAGAAATTTTATCCTGAAGGAAATGATCAACAAGAGGTTTTAGATATGTGAAAAACATAAGCAGATTTGAGCTGTAGAAAGCAGTCTGACAAAGCATGAACAGAAATTATTGTAATCATCAACTTAACCAGATAGATATGGAGTCTGGGAACAGGAAGTTAGAGATAAGGGAGCAGGACCTTGAAGAATCACTGAATGAAGGTTACTGCCTGCGCCTGGGAATTAGATGTGGTTGTGTTTCAAGGACAGGCAACAGCAAAAGCAGTAACTAATAGTTCATAAGACTTCCCAGTTCACAAAGACTTTTTACCTATGTGGAGTCATTTAGTCACAAGAATCCTGTGAGGCAGGGAAGGATTTTAGAAACAAATACATATTGAACATTTTTCCAGCTCTAGCTGAGGATGAAGAAACTGAAGCTCAGAGGTTAAGAGGCTGTCCTATAATCACACAGACCTGCTGGCTCCACCCTAATTCTCTGACCCTAAACATTTTGCTTTCCCTTCTACAGTAGCTGATTTCCATGATAAATTACCAGCTCTCTCTTATTGCTTAAGACCCGCCCCCAATCTGCTCCAAATGTTTCTTTGAAAAACATTAATTCTAAAAAAATAAAATACCCAAAATATCTCAACTAACTTATTCCTTTCTTTTTAGTCATATTGCAGTTATCTCTAAATCTAAAATGAGCTCTAGGAGTCAGTTCAGTGTTTTGCTTATTTTTGCTACTTTTATACATTTTGAAATTTAGCCTTAGATTTTCAAACTGTGTATTCACGTATTAAAGGCTACAAAAGCTTGAGAGTAAAACTAATCCATTTTTTTCAAAGCTCAAATTCTTATATAAGTAATTTACTGAATTTATTTTGTTAGTCAGAGTTAATAAAGCAAGTTCAAAAGGAGAACAAAAGATTAGACCTCACACATCTCAACTTATTTGAACTAAACAAAAATTTAAATGCATTAATGCGACTAGTATCTTAGTCCTTAAAACAAAGTAAAACAAATAGATTGAACTCAGTTTACTCGGAGGTACGCAGATATAACTTCTTCTAGTTTGATAATTGACTTTCTGAACGTTTATATTTTCTCTAGCAATCCGAGATATGGCAGCAATATACCTAGAATACAAAAAGAAGAAGCTGTCACTTATGAATATAAATGGATAGGCCAAACAAATTTCTAGAAAAATAATATTTAAAAAATCATTGTTAACTTTTGATGTCAATGTATTGAATAAGTTGGTGAGTTTTTCTTCCCCTCTGTTTTCTGGAAGACTACGTATAAGGTTTGAGTGACTTATTCTTGAAACTTAGGTTAAAAAAAAACTATTAAAAATATTTGTACTTAGTTAAAAGACGAAGAAATTGTCTAATTTCTATGAATTTTGGGATGTGTACATTACTTTTGAAAAAAATAAGGCCAACAAATCCAATGAACCCAAGAAGCAGAGCAATGAGTTTTGACTATGGTGCCATTCTGAGTATCGATTAATGCAATGGTAAACTGAAATTACTCTGTATGCATTTTCCAGTGGAAGAGTATCTAGAAAAGTAAACAAACATGGTGGTAGAGTAATATTTTAAGAGTAATAAAAACATCATTTGGTATGCCAAGGTAGGTTAACTTCTTAGAGCAGCCATAACAAATTACTACAAACACGGTGACCTAAAATAACAGACATTTAATTTCTCATGGTTTTGGAGACTAAAGTCTAGAAACAAGCTGTTGGCAGGACCATGCTTCCCCCAAAGCTTTCAGGGAAGAATCCTTCTTTGCCTCTTCCTAGCTTCCACTAGTTCCCAGCAATCCTTGATGCTCCTGGCTTCTACCATCATTATTCCGATCTCTGCCTCCATCACCATATGATCTTCTTTCCTGTCTCTGTGTCCTTTTCTCTTCTTATAAGGACACCAGCCATTGGATTTAGGGCCTCCCTTAATTTAGTATAGCTTCATCTTAACTAATAATATCTCCAAAGATCCTCTTTTGAAATAAGGTTATAATCTGAGGTGCTGGGTGGACAGGAGTTTGGGGTGGAACACTTCAACCCTCTACACAAGAGAACAACTTCACCAGAAAAATTCTTGACATACCTGGTAGAAGACATCAAGGAACCCAAGTCAAGCTACCACAGCATTTCCTTAGAGAAGGAGTTCATATATGGAAATGAAAATTTTTACAAAAATTTCTTTTGGGGATGACTAATTTTTTTTACTATAAGAAAACTTTCGGTGAAAACACTGCTTACTGTAATTGAAATTACATAGAATAGAAATGTTTTTGCCCCACAGGTGTACCTTGTTCATATACAATACTACCTAAAAGTTCATGCATTTGAAAACTATTCATGGAGCATGTACCTTGTGCCAAGTGCTATTCTAGGAGCTAATGATACAGGGAGACCAAGGCAGACAAGGTCCCTGGCCCATCAAGAGGAGACAAAAATGAGTGAATGTGAAAATCAAGATATATCAGATGTGATATGTGCTATGATGAAAATAAACCCTCCAATAAAAGGTTGTATGGCAATGCTGAGGGCAGACAGCCTTGCATTGTTCCTGACATTAGTGGCAAAATATTCAGTCTTTTATTATCATGAATGTCAACTGTAGTATTTTCATAGATATACTTTATAAGGTTGAGGAAGCTCTTTCCTATTCTTAGTTTACTGAGAGCTTTTTATTAAGTCAGGATTTGATGTTGAAATTTTACCTACTGAAATGATCTGATTTCTTATTTTATTTTACATTGTTTGAATTTTTCAAATATTAAGCCAAGGTTACATTCCTAGTGTAAACCCCACCTGGTCATATAATTATCATAGTTACTTATTATATTTAATTGTGACCAACTGGATTTATACCAGGCATGTAACCCTGCTTTAACATTTTTTAAAAAATATTTAACATTTAAACCATATTTAAAATGTATATATTTACATTCAATTTGCTAAATTGTTTTCCTCTATGTATATAAGGTATATTGATTTGTAGGGTTTTTGTTGTTGTTGTTTTGTGCTGTCTTTGGTGTTGTTATTGAGGTAATGCTGAAATAGATAATGGAATATACTCCCCTTCTACTTTCTGAAAGAGTTTGTGTACAGTGGCATTTTGTTTTTCTTAAATGTCTAGAAAATTCTAGACATTTGGCTTGGAGTTGTCCTTGTGTAAAGGCTTTTAGCTATCAATTCAATTTCTTTATAGACATGGGATTATTTAGTTTATCCATTTCTTTTTCAAGTGAGTGTTGGTAGATGTTGTCTTTCAAGAAATTCGTTCATTTCATCCATTTTTTTTATTCACTGATGCGAAAAATTCTTCATTTTCATTTTAGAGAGATTTCACATGGTATAAACTCTGTCCTTTATTGAGCCCATCTTTGCATGAACTGTTCCCTTGGTATCTCTAATTTTCTTGAAGAGATAGATCTCTATTCTTTTCCATTCTATTGTTTTCCTCTATTTCTTTGCATTGATCACTTAGGAAGTTTTTCTTATCTCTCCTTGCACTTCTTTGGAACTCTGCATTCAGATAGATATATCTTTCCTTTTCACTGGTAGCTCAGCTGGTAAAGAATCTGCCTGCAATGCAGGAGACCCTAGTTCGATTCCTGTGTTGGGAAGATCAGCTGGAGAATAGGCTACCCATTCCAGTATTCTTGGGCTTCCCTGCTGGCTCAGCTGGTAAAGAATCTGCATGCAATGGGAGAGACATGGGTTTGATCCCTGGGTTGGGAAGATCTCCTGGAGAAGGGAAAGGCAACTCACTCCAATATTCTGGCCTGGTGAATTCCATGAACTGTATAGTCCTTGGGGTCGCAAAGAGTTGGACACAACTGAGCGACTTTTATATCACTTGCCTTTTGCTTCTCTTCTTTTTTCAGCTATTTGTAAGGCCTCCTCAGACAACCATTCTGGCTTTTTACATTTCTTTATCTTGGGGATAGTTTTGATCACCACCTCCTGTACAAATGTCACAATGGCATCCAGTCCCATCACTTCATGGCAAATAGATGGGGAAACAATGGAAACAATGACAGACTTTATTTTCTTGGGTTCCAGATGGAGACTGCAGCCATGAAATTAAAATATGCTTTTAATATGCTTTTGCTGACAAAGGTCCGTCTAGTCAAAGCTATGATTTTTCCGGGAGTCATGTGTGGATGTGAGAGTTGAATCATAAAGAAAGCTAAGGGCCAAAGAATTGATGCTTTTGAACTGTGGTGTTGGAGAAGATTCTTGAGAGTCCCTTGGACAGCAAGGAGATCCAACCAGTCCAAACTAAAGGAATTCAGTCCTGAATATTCATTGGAAGGACTGATGTTGAAGCTGAAACTCCAATACTTTGGCCACCTGATGCAAAGAGCTGACTCATCTGAAAAGATCTGATGCTGGGAAAGATTGAAGGCGGGAGGAGAAGGGGACGACAGAGGATGAGATGGTTGGATGGCATCACCAATTCAATGGACATGAGTTTGAGTAAACTCTGGGAGCTGGTGATGGACAGGGAGGCCTGGCGTGCTGCAGTCCATGGAGTCGGAAAGAGTCAGACATGACTGAGTGACAACTGAACTGAGCAACTGAACTGAACTGAACTGGTGAAACTCTAGGTTAACAATTTCTTCTAAACACTTTAAAACTGGCATCCATTATCTTTTGGCTTGCAAGTTTTCTGACAAGAAGTTATTGGTTGTTCTTATCTTTGTTCCTCTATATGCAGTGTGTATGTGTGTTTAACCTTCATTGCTTTTAAGATTTTCTCCTATCACTGAGTAATAGCAATCTGATTTTTATATGTCCTGGAATGGTTTCTTTATACTTCTGCTTCTTGGGATTTGTTGAGCTTCTTGGTCTCTGAGTTTGTATCTTTTATCAAATTTGGAAAATTTTCTGCCATAATTATTACTTTGCATATTTTTCCTGTCAGTTTTTTGGGAGTACACCAATTATGTGTATTTTGAAAGAAAGTGAAAGTGAAGTAGCTCAGTTGTGTCCAACTCTTTGTGACCCCATGGACTGTAGCCCACCAGGTTCCTCCATCCATGGGATTTTCCAGGCAAGAGTACTGGAGTGGGTTGCCATTTCCTTCTCCACAGACCATTGCGGCTTTAAATCTTTTTCTCACTATGCTTACTTTCAAAAGTGTTTATTGCTACATTTTCATCAGTCATTTCTTCTTCATATCTAATTTGCTTCTTTCCATATAGTGTGTATTTAAAGTATTTTGTATTTATCTCTGGATGTTCCATCAATCTTTTGTATATCTTCCACTACTTTTCATTATATTCACGATTTTCTTCAGATCCTAGAGTATATTTCATAAGACGTATAAAAGCTGCATTAAGGTTCACACTTACTAATTCTATTATCTCTATCAGTTATGGATCTATTTATACTGATAGATTTTCTTTTGGCTATGAATTATATTTTCCTGCTTTTTTGTACAACTGATCATTTTGATGGGATGATGGACAATGCAAATTTTATGTTGCCGGGTGCTGAATTTTGTTATTTTCCTTTACACATAGTCCACTGCTGTGGCATGAAGTTCAGTATCTTACAAATCACTTTAGTCCTTCAAGGTTTGTGTTTAGGCTTCCACAGGGGTCCAGAATAGCCTTTACCTGGAGACAAGCTCAGTCCATAAAGCATCTGCCTGCAATGCAGGAGACCGGGGTTCAATTCCTGGATCAGGAAGGTCCCCTGGAGGAGGAAATGGCAACCCACTCCAGTATTCTTGCCTGGAGAATCCCATGGACAGAGGAGCCTGGCAGGCTACAATTCATGGGATCGCAAGAGTTGGACAAGAGTTAGCCCTATCTTTTTTTATCTTTATAGCCCCATTCCTAATGTATGGCCCTTCTGAAGTTTCCATCCAATGTCCTTTGAATTAAGAGTTCTAGCCACTCTAACTAGCAGGAATGTACACCATGTCTAGCTCTGTAAGTCTTGTATGAATTCCAAAACAAACAAAATCATTATAATCTTATTTTCCTCAAGGCAAACATGACTTTAGTTAGAAAACAGTATAACTTGATTTATACCGTTTCTCCCCCAGTGGTAAATCTTTGTCCTTAAGAAACTATATACTATTGATATTTCCTCTTTCATTTAAACATT